ATATAAATGTAGATGGGTTCATGCATCATAGGGAATGTTTTCATGCTTCATGGTCATTTCAAATATCTTACTTTATTTTAAGCGTACCTGATTGGCAGAAAACAATAAAAGACTTTGAATTTGTAGAAGTTCCTTCTCGGAAAGCTAGAATTGCATCTCCAATGCGTTGTATCACGTTAAACAAAGAAAAATTAAATTGAATCAATAGCATGTAGATCAATTCAATAAAATAGTAAATCAATCATAAAAAGAATGATTAAAATGTAATACTCCCCTAATTGAAGATCAAACTCTCTTTAGCGCAGCGTCAAGAGCATGCTAATAACATGTTGTATACATAATTTACTGAACGATTATGGAGGCCATAGAGAGAGAGAGAAAGATGCGGCAATAGTAGAGAGAAGAGAGAGATGTGTAATTGTGGATGTGTTCTATTCTACTCCGTTGTGCCTTTATTTATAGTAAAAGGGAAGGTTAATTCCTTACCCTTTTAGGATTACAACTCTAATAGGATATCAACTACTAAAGAGAACATAATCACATTCCTATTCTAATAGGACTGCAACACAATTTTTATTTTATTCTAGAAAAATTAAAATTTGTGACAACCCGTCTCTACATTTACAATTTTATTAATTTAAAAAATATGAATTTACGAAAATGCCCTTAGAGGCGAGGTTGTTGACTTTCGTTGACCGTCCTTTCACGATGGGTACAAGCTACTATTTTAGTGTATTCTCAAAATACTTGACGGTACGAACACGTAGGCACAAGTGGAATCGAATTTGGAGTTATAACGAAGATTTTACGTATCAAAACATCGAACATTTTTTGAATATTTTGTGTTTCATCTTTAGTGATATTGTTTTGTGAGCCACTAGGGCCCACATATTTCCCCTTGTACCCGTGAGTCTCCCTCCCCTTTTCTGAAAATATCGAGCTTTCTCTCTAAACACTCTCACTCTCTCAAACTCTCTCCCTCACTCTCGGCCCTCTCCTTCCTCCCTAGAAAACCAACCCTCCTAGAGGGTTTTCACTCAAACAACAACACACAACAACAACCTAGACTACACCATAAGCTTCCCTCATAGTCCCTACAAGTTCTTGAACCAAGAAAATAGAAGAAAAACCATTCGAAAACTCACCTCTGAGATGCACTATTCAAGGAACTTCTCCTGCGATCTCTTGCCATTTCCGATGAAGGTAAGCCTCAAAATTGATCTCTATTGTTGTACGTCATGTCTAGGTTCACGATTAGTAAGTTTTGGGTGGTTTTGGTGGTGTAGGAACTCAGAAAAACTCAAGGAAAGTCACTATGCAAATCTGGAATTTTCCAGGCATTGGTTGTTTGGCCATTTTCTGGCCAACTCTGGCCACCACTAGGTCCTCACTTGGTATGAATCTCTTCTCCACATTCCTAACTACATTTTGGCTTTTGAATCATCGAGTTTGGTTAAATATCGAACTAGAAATTAGCTTTCAAATTTGGGATGAAATATCTCAAATTCTGGAAAACTTAGACCGTGGCCATTTGGCCACATTCAGGCCATTTTTCAGGCCAACATCGACATTAACTTGGCTCTATTTTGGTATGGCTTTGTTCCTTGCATTTCCTACTTCACTTAGGTCTTTGAATCATCAATTTTGGTTGAGAAACGAATGAGATATCGTTGTTTAAAGTTTGAGTTTCACTTTAGAGTTTCACTTTAGAGTTTCACCCCAAAAGCCCGGCCCTTATTCTTTTGGTCCAAACTTTTGGGCCATTGACCCATGACTCTTTAACCCAAGGTCCAGTTTGTCCATTTACCTAATTGGGCTTAGAATATTCTTCGAATGTTCTTTGGAATATTCTTAGAATATTTCTTATGTGGGCTTTTCGTAAACCGTTGACTTTTTACAAAATTTGCTCGGGACACTCCTTACCGTATTTCGATGCACTGATTCCAAATCCGCTATTTGTTTTTCCAAATTCTAGCGTTTTAATTAAGTTTTACTAATGGGTCCCAATATTATGCTTAGGTACAATTACTATTGGAGACTCTGACTTCGTAGCTTGAACGGATGTGTCATTGCAAGTAACTGTGAGTGAGCGGTTTGTTTTCATACCTATACATAATTATAGTTTCCATAAATGCGTACTTACTTCACCTTTACGCTTATATTGCCAAGTATCGTTATTGTGATATTAATCGTGATAAATGCTGCCATATGGTTGAGATATTACTGTCATGACATTCATACATACTTGTACATGCTCATCTTGCTGCACCCAGTGTTAGTACTCGTCCCAGGGCTAGGGCAAATCCTTCACGTGTATGTTCACATCTGCATCGTTCGCTCGCCTTGGATCCAAGTTAGGTGTCAGCCCTGTCATACAGTTTGCATTAGGCAATTGTAACTCGCATGTGACTGTGGTTCTGCACCAGCCTTCACGTGATCGTAGTACTAGAGCGTATTGATTACACCCAGTCTTGATCGTGTCAGAAATTATCTGTACGAACTCGTGTGTCAGCTTAGATGGATGAGCATTTAGTTATACTTGATTATCACATGATTATATTATTGTGGCATTTAATATATCATGACTTGGCATATTTCTGGTTATATTGATGTTGTACATTTGTTTAGATACTTACGTAGTATGTTTTACGAAAACTATACTTATTTTACGCGAGGAGTTACTATGTTCGAAAATAAAGGTTTTCTTACAAACGTTGTTTTGCTGGCCCACTCAACTTTGTTTTTCACCCTTCCAAGTTTAGTAACTATGCTTACATGTAATCGAGGATTTTGGCAAAATCTCAAGAGATGGTTATCTTCAGTGGTATAACCCTCATCCTATTTACTATACTGTCTTATGCTCTGACATCATGTGTGAAATGCGTTCAATCCCGCTCACTCACGCATTCTTTTGATTAGGCACTTTTAGGTTTAAATTTATTCACATCTTTTTTTCCACTACACTACACTTTATGGCTTCGTCACCCTCTAAGTGTCGGCCATCACAACTCGATTCGAAGTTCAAGTGGACATTCCGGGTCGGGGTGTGTCAAATTGAAAATAAAAGAATGGAATCCAAAATTTGAAAACTAAAAACAAAGTAGTTTCATTTAACAAATATGTTAAACAAAAACTGAAAACAATAGGATTATCAAGCTACCCCAAATTAGTCGTAGGAGATAAATAGGCCATCTCCAACCGAAAAGGGGCCAAAGGGCCATGTTTAACCTTATAGCTCTGCAAAATATTTTTTTTTAATGAACAGTGCCAGACCATATTTTATACCATCTCCAACCGAGGGGGCCAAAGAGTCATAGGCCAAAACATAGCCCGTTTGACAAAAAATCTATTTCCAACCGAAGGGGGCTAATTTTTAGCCCCCTCAATAATTTATTATTTTAACCGAAGGGGGTTCCTTTTGGTTAGCCTACTGGCCTGGTGGATGAATTATGGCCTAGTGGGGCCTACAAGCCCTTTGGCCTAGCTCTCGGTTGAAGACGGTTTTCGTGTTAAAATGAACTATATTTTAGCCTATGGTCATTTGGCCGGATCGGTTGGATGGCCTAATCGAATCCGAACCGTGCACACCCCAAACAGAGTACGAAAAGCCCAATTGTAAAGAACTTTGGGTTGAAGAAATGGTCTTGTCCTTGCTTCTTGCCCCATATCCTTCCACATATCCAATTCAACCCTGAGCTCCGGAAATGGCCTTCACTCCCTCTCCAAGCTTCCAACGACCACCTCCGCCATGATCCCCAGAATTGAACCCGACCCCACTACGAAACCCAACAATTTGTAGAGCCCATGGCTGAGTGCCAACAATTTTCTGACCATTCTATGCTTTTATTGTTGTTAATTTTAGTATTTTTTTTTTCGGAAAGTTTTTCTGAAATCATCTTCCTATATGTTGTCTTACTGCTGCTATACTTACGTCTGGATTCCATTTTCGATCATGTTGAATTACACTTTGAGGTGGAAAACAATCCTTAGAATTAAAGGACTAATATTTGTAAATCTAGAACTGTAAAATTTGAGACTGAGATGGTTGTGGGATTAAGATAGTGTTGAATGTGGATAACTAATGTGAACTGCATATGTTGAAGTTCAGTTGGCAAATTGTGTGCACGCTTCTACGATTATAACTTATGCACAATAGCTTTGTTGTGAAATTAGTGAAGGTAAAATGGGATGCAAATGTAAGATACCAAGACTATGTTTATCATCTTTACCAAGAAAAGAAAGCTATCTTATGAATATCTGATCCTACCACATACTTCCCCTATAGTGAATCTAGTGAATTATGTGGTATACTTAGCTGGTTTTGGATTAGGTAGCAGGAACCAGTCTCGCTGCCAATTTTTTACGGGAAAATGCAATTACACTTACTAAGGTGCGTGAAGAAACAATTAAGTTACTTGGGAAAACAGACATGTGGTTTTTCAGTCCTGAGCATCCCGCATTGATTGAGGAAGCTCAACAAGTGCTTGATTGGGCTATTGATAAAAAGAACAAATCTTGTGAATTTATGGACATTCTGTTTGTATAATTTCTTTCTCTTTTGTTGGCCCTTTAATTTATGTGAATTAAATTTGTTTCTGTATATGTATCTTGAGGTGTTCTACTGGTTTGGGATTGGTATGAATGCTCAATCAAGTGGTATCTTGGGTATGCAAGAAAACATATGGATTCAAATATACTAATAGGTAATGCATAATATCGTAGATGATATCAACAAACATGTGGGCTGGTAACTTCTTTTGAACAACATAACTTATGATTGTGGGATTTTTTTTTCTTCGCACCGTGTATGATGTTTCCTATGCTTTGCAATTTCATTCTTCCTTCTGTCATCTGTGAATTTCCGTTGTGAAACGTTTTTTTCTGACTACTTTAAATAAGATATAGTGTAAGGTGCTGCATAGTTGCAGGAAGAGGATGAGTAGAGGATCCATGGATTGGCTTCTATGAGTTTGCGTTATGTATGGGGTGAAAAGAAACAGTAGTAGAATATCTCGTTTATTTGATGTTATATGGTAAAAACCTTTGCATTTTATGGCAGCTCCCATCTTCCAGAATTCGCAATTATAGATAATGTTGAATTAAGCTATAAGAACACATGGCCATTTTTTTCTTATCGGGATTCTCAATTCTTTTTGCTGCGCTATGAAGTCTATGTAATTTAATTTAGTAACATCTCAATTGCAGGCGATAGCAGGGAAATTACAACATCTCATCTACTTCTTGGCATTTGGTATGAAGGGGAACCTCCGGGCCACAAGATAATGGCTGGCCTTGGCTTCAATTAGGAGAAAGCTAAAGAGCTTGAGTCTTCAAGTACCAAACCTGGATTCATCGACGGATGATATCTTCCATTTGTCTTCATTGATCTGTGATGCAAATTTCTTCACCAAAGAGGGAAACAGTGATGTTATTCAGAGAGAGATGTCAATGGCATTGCAAGTTCATCTCTGTACAACGAATTTTTTCTTGTGTTTAATTTGCAAATAGGAGAAAAGTGTATTCATGCAGAATGATGTTCGACTTAGCCGGATACTTTCCGCCATGGAATTAGATTGTCTACATATGCATTTTGGAGGCCACATTAGCCTCTTACTCTCTAGCAATATCTTGACTGCATAGGAATTGCACACTTTTATATGCCAGGGAATGTTTAACGTACAATAAAACATTGCTAGAACCGGCTGTCGGAGTCACCATTTCATAGCTGGTCAGTCGAAACGTGGTTTACTTTTACAAGATCTGGTTTTACCGGGAATATATGACCTTTCTCAGGTTATTCTGGTGCTTGACAACCAACGGAAGCAAGTGTTTGTGCCTTCCAACCTTCTTCTTCCCAATTGATCCTCAAAACAAAAATTAGCAACAAAATCAAGCATGCAATCATTCCAATTAAGAACCCTACCATCAATCCACTGAGCCCAAGTGCAATCTTGAAGGCTAAGATAACTCCCAAGGGCAAGGCCAGGAGGTAAAACCCACCAAGATTTGCGTACATGGCTAACCACGGTCGCGCCGTTCCCCGGACAATCCCTCCACAAACTGTTAAAGGGAAATTCACCACCTCGACTAAAGCCATCAGCAGCATCATCTTCTTCACACCTTCTAAAATTCCTTTGTCATGAGTGAACAAACACCCCCAACTTCCCCTGGCTCCTAACATTACCAAACCACCTATGAAACCCGAGACCACACTCACTGCAACAGACACAAATGCAGACTGATAAGCAGGGCCTGCTCTGTTTGCTCCAAGCTCGTTGGAGACGCGGGTTGATGCACAAGTTGCCAAAGAAAGCATCACCGAGTAAAGCAGATAGTCGAAGTTTAACACAATTGCTAATACTCCCACTGCCTCCTTGGCATTCGCAAGTCGGCCTGTGAGCAACATCAATATCTCATAGCACCACCATTCAAGGCAGGTAGTGAGGCAGCAAGGTCCACAAAGCTTGAGCAACCTTTTCCAATCGCTGACATGTTGATCAAGCCAACCCCCTTCCCTCCACCTCCCTTCCTTTGCCTTAATTTCAATGACACATGTATACAAGGCAAGTAGAACCACAACCATGAGATCAGTGATCCACACAGACATTGCAACACCCTTGAGACCCTTGGCTTTCGCAAGAAAGATGTTAATCGGTATGTGAAAAGCAAACGCTAGACCCGAGCAGAACATTGATGGCACTGTGATGCCTTGTGAGTTCAAGTAGGCCTTAAAAGGACATAAGAGTGAAGTAACTACCAAGTCTGGCAGGAGATAGAAGAGGTAGGTCTTCGCAACCATTGAAATGTCTTCTTGTTGGCCAAAATGGATGAGGATTTTGTCAACATTGAGCCACAAGAACGAAATAGGAAGCGTTGCGAGGAGCAGCAAGAAAGTTGTCATGAGAAGGGCTTTGTGGAGGAGCTTTATATTTCTAGCTCCAAAAGCTTGACCACAAATAGGTTCCATGGCAGCACAAAGCCCATTTAAAACTGAGAAGCCGGTGACATTAGCAAAGGTGAAGCCAAGCGTACCGCCAGCCAGTTGGAGCTCCCCGAGCCTGCCAAGAAAAACTGTTGTGATGCCTATCTTGGCAAACCATGTCAAGTTCACTGCCACAAGAGGAAGAGCTATTGCCCTTTGTATTTTCAGCTCCAAAAGCGTAACCTTGAAGAAATTGGATGGCAATTTCTGAAAGGTTTTCTCAATTGGGTTATCTTCCAAATTTGATATTGTTGTTGCAGACATTGTGTTAAATGGATTGCAAGATTTGGTGGGATTGTTTCAAATATATATTTTCCAAAGGAAAAGATGAAAGTTTGGTTTTTCTTTTTTGTTTTCTTTTTCTCGAGATAATATTGGTTATTTATGGTGCATTTGTTTCGTAAGGATGTTTGTTTCCTAAAAGGAGCAAATTCAAATGCTCTTTTTGTAACTGCCAATTATGAAAGAAGAGAGAGAGAGTTGGTGGTGCATTTATAGTGCGTGATGATAATGCATGCAAGGGCCAAACTAAATCTTCATGCTTATCGAGCATGCACTAGCTTGCTTTCCACTTGTTTCCCATTAAAAAAGAATGCATATCAACTTTCGACCTTAATCTTAGTGAGTAGTCACTATGATCTATTTTATGTTTTCGTTTTCTGGTGGAATTAATTCTATTTAAATCATCTCTCTATTATTGATTATATATAATACATAAAAATTTCAAGAAAAATAGGATTATTTCTATTCGGTGACAATATTAAGTGACAAAGATAACATGATTAAGTTATAAAAACTTTATTAATCTTGAACACATGTCATTTTTAACTAAATTGTTACGTCATTTTGGTAAGATCAGAAGGGGGTGTGCGATCCACACATCCCTCATTAATTTCTGTCATTTGATATTCTTTAATTCAGTCGATCTATAGCCGCAAATTAAGAGGATGTGTATGAAGTAAAAAGAGGTGTGTGGATAACAAACTCTTCTAAAGTACAACAAAGATGTGATAGAAAAGCATGGAACCACTAGTTTGGCCTTGCCTGATTTTGTGCTATACAGCTCGAGCCTAGAAGAGTAGAAGGAACAAATTTTGGTGCGCATATGTTTTTATTGGTTCGAATTGAGTTAGTTACTTGTAGGAGATGAAGTTCGATGGGACTGTATAATGCATCTTCCATACATACACCAATGATATAAGTTCGATGTGACATCAGTTATGGATACCTAGATATGAAGACTAACATGAAAGATATTCTGATATCTGATATGGTGGACATATTCCCATATATGAACTAAAGTCTAAAGGAATTATTTGGGTTTGTAAAATTCTTTGGGATAAAAAAATATTAAAGGGGATTAAACAAAGAGGAATGAATATTAAATTACAAAAGGATGAAATAATTATGTGGTTTAGTTAATGTTTTTGAGATTCTGAGCTATGAACAACTAAACGAGCTAGACAACCTTGGCCACCAATACATATATGTATTAGTTTTCTTTCATATTCCAAAGCCAACCAATTAATATTGAATTACTTGCATTTCAACTTTGCTTTATCAGTATTTTATTTATTTTTAAAGTGACTGGGTCGCATATCCTTTCAGAAAAGAAAATGAAAAATAAAAATAAATACATGACTTAGTCAAGTTGGCTAGAGCAATGTATACTTGATTGTGAATCTTTTTTAGTAGTTTAGATGAACTTAATGTTCCTTGTATAAAAAATCTGTGGCTATCCAAATGATTGGACTTTGGACAATTTCCCTTCATCATTTCTTGATAATTTGTACTGAAAAAAAAGATAAAAGAAAAAAAAACATAAAACTAACCCCTCCAAACAAGCTACAAAAACAAATTTATTAAAGAACAATCCTTAGAATAAGTTGTAGAAGTAAAAGATGGGACACGATCCCACTAATGAAAGCCAACATAATCAACTCCATAATTAGTGAAATGATTGCCCTCTCAAAATTTTGAGAAAAAAAATTTAGCTAAAAGAGCCAAACAATTTGACGAACAAATCCAAAGACGTCATTTCACTAAAGAACTTGAAGAAGAAAGAAAACGACAACCAAGGTCGAGCCACACTCAATTCATAGAAAAAGCAAACCTTAAGATCAAGCATGAGATACTGTTCAGCTCGTAATCAGATATTGTATGACTTAAATAAAAGGAAACATATATACGCAAGGACCACACTATAACTATTAAGTGGATTCAAATGATTTTTGTTTGTTTGTTTTGGAATTACTCAAGACACCAAAACAATAAACCAATTATATACAAGCATATACATTCATAATTTCTTCCTTTATTGCGAGCATGCACTAGCTTGCTTTCCACTTGTTTCCCATTAAAAAAGCATGCATATCAACTTTCGACCTTAATCTTAGTGTGTAGTCACTATGATCTATTTTATGTTTTCGTTTTCTGGTGGAATTAATTATATTTAAATCATCTCTCTATTATTGATTATATATAATACATAAAAATTTCAAGAAAAATAGGATTATTTCTATTCGGTGACAATATTAAGTGACAAAGATAATATGGTTAAGTTATAAAAACTTCATTAATCTTGAACACATGTCATTTTTAACTAAATTGTTACGTCATTTTGGTAAGATCAGAAGGGGGTGTGCTATCCACACATCCCTCATTAATTTCTGTCATTTGATATTCTTTAATTCAGTCAATCTATAGCCGCAAATTAAGAGGGTGTGTATGAAGTAAAAAAAGGTGTGTGGATAACAAACTCCTCTGAAGTACAACAAAGATGTGCTAGAAAAGCATGAAGCCACTAGTTTGGCCTTGCCTGATTTTGTGCTATACAGCTCGAGCCTAGAAGAGTAGAAGGAACAAATTTTGAGTGCGCATATGTTTTTATTGGTTCGAATTGAGTTAGTTACTTGTAGGAGATGAAGTTCGATGGGATTGTATAATGCATCATCCATACATACACCAATGATATAAGTTTGATGGATAGCATAAGAATATGAAAAGGAAATATATCTTGGAGACGATGATAACTTTGAATGATTGAGGAGAGAATTTAGTACAAAGTCCAATGATATAACGACGAGTAGTTTGACGTGCAACATTCTTAAGAATGTCTTTTGGATCAAACAAAAAAAATAATCAGGAATACACAGACAAGAATGCAACTTTAACAGGAAACATAGATTTGCTAACGGAGTACACCACAGAGGGTTAAAATCCGAGTTTTTTTAGCAAAGGGTGACACATCCCGACCTAAAATCAAGGCGTGCTGGTCGTCACATGAGGGTGACATAGCCATGTGTACAGTGCAGAAGCAATAAGGATATGAAATATACGAATAAATAAGAACCGAAAGCTAATTAATGTGCACTAATAAGCAGAAAGTGCTAGGAATGAGATACAAGTGTGAATACACCTAATTAGAGCATAGAAGTCTAGGTGCAGTCCAGTAGGACAAGTACTAGTTATACAGTACCAGAAGAAGTCCTACGAATATTATACTTTGTCAGAACCGTCAAGATCCACAAATGCCACCAACAACAAGTCTACCTAAAACATGGAGGGGTGCAAAAAAGAAAGTGTGAGTGGGCAAAAACAAAGCTTTTCAAAATCATTTCATTTACCAAATGCTCTAACCCCTCGCCGTAAAACATATATAATTTTTCCAGAAATGGAATATAAATATATATAGATATATATATCAAATCATGCTTCATATATTCATAATCATAAGTATGCCATGCCAAAAATATAAAACAGAATAAGTAACTCAGGTGAAAATAAATTCATGGAAAATAACATATTAGCCGGAACCCCTGCAGAAGTCTGTACAGTTGAATTCATAGCTCATTAATCAATCTAGCCGGAGTCACTACAAATGACCTATATGGCACTACACTGTACATGAGTTGGAACCACTGTAAGGGTCTGTACGACAAGTCTGGGTGTAATATAGTTATGCTCAATGCTACGCACTCATGATAGCTATTCAATAAATCGCTAGTCACCTACGAGTCAGAACCACCTATGATGGTCTGTACGACAAGACTGTGCACCTAAATTGGATCCAATGTGAGCATAGGGTGCGGGAGGTGACATTATAAACAGGCATGTACCATATCTCTGGCTAAATCACAATCACCCGAGGTGCAGGTTTATGAGCTTTCAATCACATCTCATATTATAAATATCTCATATAATAAAACATAACTCACCTGGTACTTACTTGAGCGTCCCCAGCACCAATTCATATTATACATCATATACTAATTCATATGCTGAATATAAATTTATATGCATGGCATCAAAGCATACTTTTGTTTAAACACATTTTCTGGGAAATATCAAGTATATAAATATATACTGAAAATCAAAAGCCCACTCACTGGTATGTCGAAGGGTCGTAGCCCCCGAGTCGCCCGTGACTGCGCTCGTCCTCGAGATAAGTCTCCCCTATATGCGAAACAACAATAAAAACGTTAATTTAAAGCACATAACCAATACTAGCTAATAACTTCTCATACATTGCTCAAATGGGGTGTTTAAATATACCAACGTGATCTACACAACCTCACGAACATCCCCATATTTTTAGAAAAATTTTTCGACCACCGACGCGCCAGCCAAGGCACGGCCGGACGCACCACCCACGCGCGGGCACGTGCCAGGCACACTGACAGTAACCCTAATGGCGTTAAGGAATATTCCGTTAAATAATAGCATCTACCGTTAAAACTAACCGACGCCGTTAGAATATTCCGTCAAAGTTGACAAAATATTCGCTCGTCTTCTTCCTTCGACTCCAGTGACCGTCTCCATTACTGGAAAATTGAGAATTTGAAAAACCTTGATATCTCAGTCATTACTCGACCAAATTACCTCAAATTTGTCCTAAAATGAAGCTTGTAACTAGATGAACAAAGTCTTACCAATTTCAGGGCTTGAAATCCACAGAATCTTGATGGAGAAGACTCGATAATCCGGCCAAAACTTACAACTCGTCAAACTCGACTTTCCGACGTCCAAATTACTTGGTTTTTCTTCTCCGAGCTTCGTGAAGACATTCTAAAGCTTCCTACAAGCTTGAAATCCTTTAAAAATCATGCATTTACGACTGCATGAACAATGCTCAAATCGGAGGGTAATGGTTTCTTGGGTTTTACAAGCTTTCAAATCCTAAAAATGGTACGAATGGACTCAGGAGCTTGTAAGGAACAAGAACATTACCTTTTTAACATCGATCCGCGACTGGTTGAAGGGTTTTAAGGTTGACCGTACGGTTTGTACGGAAATGGAAGGAAATTCGAGAGGGAAGAGAGAGAGAGAGAGTCAACGGGGAGAGAGAGAAAAAGTATGGGTGTTGTTGTGTGTGGTCCTAGTTGGTCACAACCAACAAAACTAAGTCCTAAGTATTCAAAAACTTAGGAAAATTTTAGAATAAACCTCAATCAACATATCACACACCATAGGTTCAAGGATAAAACCATCATTTCACACCGTCGAAACTAAATATTTTGGGATGGGTTGTGACACAGGGACTATCTTCCGAATATCTTATAACCACATGGATCATTTATCCGATTTGGCCTAATAATAAAATGATTGTATTTAATTTTATGAGTTATTGTATTAATATATTAATAAACTAGTGAGTTAACACGATTATATGAAAATAAATAGGTAAACTTGAACACGCACAATTTCGACCCAGGGAACAGCCAACACATCTAGTTTGTCTTAATACAATTTGTAGAAGAGTTTTTTTTAGTACATCGATATTTTTGCATTAATGGGAGGGGAAATTCGGCTAAGCCACATAATGAGCAGTCTAATTTGATATCGAATTCGTTATTCACGATATTCGAACTTAAGACCTTTCACTTTCAAGTGAAGAGGAATACCACCAGGCCGTAGTACTGAGTAGCAAAAGAATATTAAGTTCCATTACCCATCTGCGGGTAAATGATTACGAGCTATTGATGTACGCAAAGTTCACGATGCATGTAAATTGGACTTTCCATGCATCACCAGCTCATACGACTGGGTTTACCAATTCACATTTGTGGAATTATTGTTCACGTTATGGAACAAATTCAGAACACTAGCATCTAATTTAAAGTATTTCATTCGTTTTTGTATATAAGTTCAAATTGAATGAGAAATTTGGAGAGAAAAAATGTGGTTAAAAAAGGTGGGTGCTTTATAAATTACTAGGGTTTTTTTATCATAAATAGTTTTTGAAATTGACTCTCACATCAAGATAATCTCTGAAATTGAAAATCGATCAATGTAGTCTCTGAAAATAAGTGTCGCAAATCAATATGGTCATTCCATCACTGTTTTGTTAAGTGTTGATGTGGCATATAAATGGGCCTCATAAGTCCATTTTTTAATCACAAATGGTCATTGAAATTGACCCGCGACATCAAAAATAGTCCCTAAAATTGAAAATCAACCAGTGTAATCCCCAAGTAAGTTTCTCAAATCAATGTAATCATTCCGTCACAATTCTGTCAAAAATTATGTTGTGTGCAGATGACACATAAATATGTCACACAAGTCTAATTAAATTTTAAAAAAAATTACAAATAGGTTTAATAATTTAATAATTAATAAAAGGTTGTCAACTCAAAAACATAGTCTCGCAATCACCTTCGATCCCAATCCACATTCCTCTACCTCCATCTATGGTAGCCTTCGTTGTCTATTCTCTAGAAAACAAATTCTCAATACACCCATTTTTACACACTTTAACACCTTTCACCGAATTGGACTTGGATCGAGATCACCTTTTGTGATGGCTTGGATTAGCGATGACTTCTGTGACATCATTATTAACATTTAGGCGATCAACATTCCCACAACTTTAATCTAAGAGAGCTTGTTGGGCGCTTCCCTGGTGGTCTAGTGACACGGAGAACAACAAGGTTTGCCTTGAGATAATAAGATTCTAATTGAGGCGCGTCTATTGTTTGTTGAAAATTATTTCCAAACCCCCTCTTAGGCCTTTGTTAAGCCTTGTGCCTTTGAGAATTTATGGAAGAGATCTCTTCGGAGTAGGCCCTACTACAAGAAAAAAAAATGGGAATTTTAACGAAACACTCCAAGTACTGTTCACTTTTAACGAAAATGACATTTTTACTCTAAAAAATCACTTATGGTACTATTCACTCAACACCATTTTATCCTTTTGAATAAAACTCAAAGTTTTCAAGTCATTTTCATTAGTTTTCCTAAAAAAAAAAATCATTTTGTAAAAAAATATTTAGACAAATTTTTTAATTAATTATTAAGTTATTAAACCCACATCAACACATAATAATTTTTTTATAGAATTGGGGCGGAAGGCAACACCTATTTACAAGAACTAAATTGATCAATTTTCAATTTCAAGGACCATCTTGATGGTGTAGATCAATTTTAAGGATCATTTGTGATAAAAACCCGTAAATCTTGTGGAGCCTATTTATGTGTCACATCAGTACTTAACAGAATTGTGACGGAAAGACCATATTGATTAATTTTCAATTTCAAGAGCCATCTTGATGGTGAGGGTCAATTTCAAAAATCATTTGTGATAAAAACCCTAAATTATAATCAGACTGGTAGGAGATCTAAGTTATAGGCAAAGGAATTCAAATTCAAGAACTTAAAACTTCGTTTGGCATACACGATTGAATTTGAATGAATAAGGCAGCACTATTTAGAAAGTTTACAATCCAATCCTAGACACAAAACAAGGCCGTATATCCTCCTCAGAAGCATCTACCAATTCCAGTGAACATTCAAAATTTTCAATTAACATCATAAGGTAGCAGCTAATGATATTCTAATTGCGGGTATGAACTTGAGATGCTGAAGGCTTGTCTGGTCTCTCTTTCCGAGACTCCTCCGTGTTGTCTTTCCTCCCTGCAAGAATCATGGAAATCTGCAGGCCTCTGCTGAATGCTTGGTTGAAGAGCAAACGTGTTTGGAACTCTGATACAAACGGGAACCATGACAAAATCGCTATCGGCATGAAGATTACTAGCCCCATTATGTAATCGTATGCTCTTCCAAGCTCCATGATTGATTCCCAGAATCCTAGCCCTTTGAACATTGGCCTGCATGCTTGCCCGATCTTGAAGCAACGAAACAAACCATTGGTTTAGTGGATACAATCAATTACGAAAAGTTTAGGACATTTTTTCTAAGCATAATTTTGAGACGGGTATGTCGAAAAAAACAAACTTTCGGACGCTTAAACTACAGAGAACATTTCACATACCACAAGAAGGGCCCAGCCTGTGGGTAGGAAGGCAAGGATAGCAGCAAACAGATCTGAAATAGTAAGGCCACAAACAACAAATAGGACAGTCATGACTGACATGAAACCAAGAAACAAAAGCGCTTTCAGAATCCTGAACATGAGCTGAAAGTCGGTGCCAAATCTTCGTCTACCCATGGAAACCATCTGATGGAAACACGCAAAATAAGCAACATCAGATCAGATTAAGAGATATCTACATATTATCCTCCGAGAATAAAATAGCATGTTCATGACAAAACCAAGTCAAAACATTTAGCGCAAACATGCTTATTAGTTATTCGTGATTTATATTTGCATACCTTTAAAACGAGAAGAACAGTTACCATAACTATCCAAGAAAGTCCATAAACCTGCAAAGAAATTGAAAAAGTTGTCAAAAATAGGACTTAAGCCTAAACAACTATTTATAGGCCAAACTGGAGAACAACTAGGCAAATATAACGGAACATTACCAGTAAACTCTTGCTGTGATGGGCTATATCAAGGTGGTAAACAACTCCATATTGGTAAATAAGGAACCGCAACGCAAGTATTATCTCAATAATTCTTCCCCGGATAACTGTGTGTTTGAGGTGTTCCTGTTCTTCATTCCACCATGATTCCCAACTTTTGTCAGGTGCTATCCCAATACCACCACGATTTCCCATCCACCTCTTCCAATCTGTCCAATCATCTACAGTTTTCTGCCAGTCAAAGCTGGACGGATTGAATATGAAAGGAGCAAACAACCAGGAAGCAACCAGAAACCACATGGACAAAGTGATGAAAAAATATAGATTTGAACTCCTATACGATTGCCCGTAGACTCCATACACAATCAGCAGAATAAGCAATTCCAACCCCTTCACAAAGTGACTGTGCGAGTAAAGTCTGTAGTTCTCGGAAAACTTTGCATGGAAAACAACAAAACCACGACCAGTTGCTCGGTATTTAGATCCTCCGTGTAAGATTGTCCTTCCATAGTAATGGGCTTTTGTTCCTAGTTGGAATGTGAAGAAAACAGAGGCCAACTGGAGCTGCATGATGATGAGATCACCCAAGGCACTGCGGAACCCTTTCTCTAGGCCAATTTCCATGATCATTGGAAGCACAAGCAACAAGCCCAGTTGAAAGACAGACTGGGTAGCCAAAGCCTCTTCAAAGGCTTTGTTCTCATGTATGGCTGGATTCTCCAGGATCTCATTCTCTAATCCACTCATAACCATGTACATACGTCCATATAAAAACACATATACAGTCAGCACAGTTACCTGAAACAATATAACCTCCGTGTCAAGCTGCAATACATACTTCAATTGTAAAATACTACACCCCTTTACGCACATATACACAAAGCCAAAGACAACCAAAACGCATCCTCATAACTTTAATTATCCCCTTCCTATTGATACAATTCTCAGGTTCAATAAATTTATTGTGAATACGGCTGGCTGCTTTATCATCTGTAACTACTGCACCTGTCAAGGACATTGTATTGGTAGCATCTAATCATCTGGGAAATCTTCTCTTAAAACATGAATCAAACACAGCCAACCTAGTCCTATAGAAAAAGGATGGTTCAGTGAATTGCAAAGACTCCATTGACATCCGACGTGTTGTCTAAGCAATCTACTCAGCATAAAATACTAATGGAACAAAGTAAATCAATAGACAAAGGAGATTAGTTTTCGCTAGCATACCATACTACTAAAATAGAATCCAACTGTTGTGAAGTAAAAGGAAAGCATTCTGTAGAAATCAAACCGACGCCCAAGCCGGTAAACATCACGGCTAAGTGTCTGTTCTCCATTTCCATTTGAAACCTTAGCCTCAAAAAGTGATATTTGGTTCATTCCCACATCACGCCCCTTGCCTACTTGGATATACTCGTGATGCGTTATAAATCCCCCACGCATAGTTGAATTGTACCCTGAAGACATCAAGACAATTAGTCAACAGATACAATACTTAGTGGATGATCTTGTTAAGAATGGAATATTACCTGCAAATATATCCTCACTTAAGTTTATTACTTTTGAAGCTTTGCTTATGCCACCCCTTGTTATGTGGAAGATTCTGTCAAATATATCAGGATGACCATAATGGAACCGTACCCTGTCAAGTTGGAATGACATTAGATAGGTACTGGAATGGTAATAGTATATAAATAACAAACAATTGAGGATTGGATTACAGTTCTGGTGGCTAGAGTTGATAGATATTAATCCTCTCACCACGCCCAAACCCAGGAATAAAGTTCAAGACAAGATTAGAATGCAGCTCAGTCAAATGTAAAATTTACGGCTTACCTCAGTGGATTTGCCAAAATTCTTTGGCCAATTGTTACAAAACTGGTCTCTTGATTCGACATGAACCAAGCAAGTGATGAAACACTGTACATAAAGAAGGAAAATGAAAAATGAGCGCATAACACTACTATTTCAACTAGTCAGCCCATAATGGTCCATAAATCATGAACATATATCAAAAGGCTGACCTTCCAGTGAAAATATGCTCCCTTAGACCCAATATTGTGGGTTTTCGATGCCCACGACGATTCTTTAAGAATTCCTCCAACACATTTCTCATCTTGAAAGCTTCTTCAAAGTAATTATCCTGGAAAAAAGAATGAATAAAGCACAATATAACAACCTTTTTCCTCTTTCAGTAAGTGGCCCACCTTGTAAATAATTTTTACATAAAGACACATGGAGAGCTACCTGATTCATGTCTATTGTCTGCAGGGCTTCCCCGCGAGTAAAGATAATGGCATGATTTTGATTTTCAGGTTTTCCTTCGCCAATATCTGTAGGAGGACCTGGGAGCTTGATGCGGTATATTTCCTGGCAATACAAGCAAAGGAAGTATTAGTTATCAACTGTTGGCTACATTCGATAAGGCTCATATGAGTGCACCAATCTCAATACAGGCAGGAAGGGCCAGCTCCTAATTACTCCATTATATGTGTGGTGGACTCCTCGACACTTTGATTATAGATGAAGCTTCTCTACAACGAAACCGGCATCAATCAAAAGTAATACTGCTTGATGTACATTATACATCTATGTTGTATGAGAGTGAGTTTCTTTCTTTTCCTTTTTAAGTCCTATACTCTTACCTCCATTACATTCTTCTATTTTATTTATTAAGAAAAATCCACAACCTCTCTTACGCTATTATTCTAGGTCTTGTCCTCAACTCCAAAATAAAAACCACAAATTTGAATTAGTAATTATTTGCAGTGCATAATATTAAAAAAAAAAACTAAAGTATTCATGCACATATTCATATATTACAAAAAAGAAGATAATTCAATAAATATTTTCTATTCCAGAAATAATTACTCAACAAAGGCGAACGATTCACTTTGAAATAAAGCTGAAAAGCTAAATTTGAAAAAGTTACTAATTTGCGGTTTATTCCTTCCGGTTTATGCACATAATGTACTTTTTTGATAAAGAGACAATTTTACTAGGAAAAAAGAGGCAAAACAGAGAGGGTGGTCCAGCAGACAAGCCCAAACACCACTACAACAACAAGGACCACAAAACCAAGCAAACAACAGCCTAGTAAGTTTTTTTCTGTTTAAGGCACATGCTATGCATTGTTCAGTGTGTATAGAACTAGCAGTCTTCCCCATACCTCATCCCATTTGTCACCACCCTTGACTAGAACAGAATAGTAAGTTTTTTTGGGTTTTCCTTTCACTTGCTCCTCCGTTGTATCTATGTAAGCAATACGTAGAGATGGATACCTACAAAAACAGTTACAGATTTAACGATGCCATCAACAAATTAAATAGCAAAGTTATCTACACATTGATCATCCTATGGAAATATTGACTCACGTTAGCATCAGCTTCAGGATATTATTGTAACAACTTTTTTCCCGAGATTCATTGGAGATTTTCTGAGCACCATAGACCTGACAAGAAACTACATAAGTAAACTTCAAATCTGCCAGAGCTTGTGCACGATCATCAGAAGCCGGGTGAGCCTGCTCGTCATTTTCACTTAAGGCTGAGGTTTGGTAGTCTTCAAAAACAGCTGCAAAACAACCATCTTCCACTTTACTAGCTTTTACAAAATTTTGGAACCAAAATCAGGTAATGTTGATCTTGAAACACATTATCTGTAACAGAGACCACTAACCACCATCTCCTGCTGTTTCCAGGAAACACTGAAGGTCTAGAGCCTCCCTATAGTACATCATCCCTCTCACTAGCAGAAAAATACAGATAAAATGTATAAGTTCATATATTAAATGATAATTGTACAAGAGACCAATTCACTCATTAATCCAGACCTGTTCTAGAAAGTGTCTGTGCTCTGTAAGATGCCCATTGACGAGTTAACTCTAACTTGTTGTTCTCAGAAAACTTGTTTTTAGGATCATTTATCCGTTCCCCAAAATTTGTCCATTCATCTAGTTGGCAATCATAATTGGTTGGCAAGGGTAAGTTCAAGTCAATTCCAAAAATGAAAAGGTAATGCAGAAATGAGACTGACACGCACCAGGATATATTTTCTTCAGGTAGAACAAAATTGAGATTCCATCCTCATTTTCTTTCGTAAGTTCCTCATCAGAGTAGAGGACATCTTCTTTGTAATAAGGAGTCAGAACACTGAACCATAAATCAGGAAGAAAATTGAACTTATTTTAGCAATTATCAGACAAATGTTGGAAGAAAAATCATATCGATCCTTCAACTTTAACAAAGTATCAGAAACATGTCAATAAGGAGGCTTTTTTGTTATTTCCTTATTCCATTTAGCAGCCTAATTTCACCATTGACAAACTACGTGTTTATAATGACTGACCTAAATGAGAGCATGCTGCGAACTTTGGGAGCACGTGGCATGTTCATGAATAAGGAGTCGCAAAAAAGGTGATGCGCCTGCGAGCTTCCAAGTTTTGAGGCACATTGATGGCAGACTCTTTGACGGTCAAAAGCAAATGAAGTCTCACTACCTAATTTAATGTAGAAGATGGTGAGACCAAAAGATCTTAGCAATTCAGTTAATGCCAATAACAAAAGAATGTCTCCCAAAGTTACCTTTTCTATCCAAGCCTTCTCCCTCCGAGATGTATTATGTCTAAGGTCAATCTTAAGCTTTTGAAACCTTTGCTCCTTCTTGACGTTTGCACCATCAGTGTAATGTGCTTGCTCCAGTATTCTACAGAGAGAAGAAGAAAACCATTAACGCACAGGAGACGGAAGGGCCCATTTTTTGGTTATGACAGCTTTTGTTCTGCCACCAGTATGCACTTATTTCTTAGTACTCACGCATGGCCGTTGATCATAACATCCTGTGTGATAATCTCCATGATATCTTGAAGAACATTGATTATCTGACGCATGGAATTATCGACATTCTCTCCTTCGGCTTGCTGCCAACAGACCAACTTAAGTAATCAGAAAGGAAAAGTATAATGTTCACATTGTCTAGACTATCAGTTCATTACTAAAAAAAATTTAGGAAGGCATCGAAGGAATGTTACCAAGAGCTTTAGAAATTTCTCCAACCTCTCGCTAAGAAATGGCAGCCCACTCATGCGGAAAGTAGTCAAAAATTTCCGCTGCTGTATACTACTGTCTACTTCCTTGCATATGTGGTTTACAATCCTGTTATATAAGATGAAACATATTTTTATAATACGGAGGATAAAATTGTGCAAGCAGATTCTGGTTATCCATGACATTCAAACTGGTATGCTTCTAACTTACATTATCCTCTTCCTCTTCCAGAAGGCCAGTTATAATATCCCTGAGTGTCTCATAGCATTCAATTACTGCTGAGTACATATAATCATCACTCTTGATCTTTCTAAATAAATCATCATCTGCCTTCCCTGTAAAATCTTTTGCCATGTCCAATGCTATCGGAATCTTCACATGTGAAAAAATAATACGAGTTACAGATTGGATTTGTACATAAAATTAACATATGAAGGCATCTAAAATATATATACCTTACTAGCAAGCAAGAAAGGAGGCCACTGGACAACAGTCACATCTTCTGATGAATATGGAACAAACAGCAGATCTTTATCTCTGGTTTATTTTGAACAGATATAATCAGAAACTCGCCAAAACTGTGTTGCAAGGTAAAATAGAGAGCAAGAAGAAGTTAACCTATTGCTGATAAGGTCTTCCAACCGCATTGAATTTATGAACCCATTCCAGACTTGAGAGAAATTAGCAATGTTCTTTCGTTCGAGTGCCTCATCCTGCCACATCAAAGTGTTTACTTTTTAGCCAAAAATCTGAAAGATAAAAGGTTGCATCTCACGTTTGTTTCATTGACAAGAAGTACCAAACAAAGTACCTGCATCAGTGTTTGGTGCGTAAATCATTTGTGTATGGCATGAAATATAATTATGAGGGGAAAAATCAACTTAAATTCCATGTGCTATAGAGCAACATTAAAACAATGATTAATTTAGTACCACCAATTGTCCTTTCTCCTTTGCATCCTCATTGCCTGACGGCATAAGACGATTACTGAAAGCAGAAGGCACAGACTCAAATCTGGACCTCAACATCCCAAGGGTCCGTATCTGAGAGAGAACAAATTGTTATAAATGGATCATTGGGAAGAAAAACAAGAAGACAAGCTGAGAGCCTGAGAGATGTAGAGACGTTAAATGTAAAGAGACAGATTAAATTTGCCACCGACCTCACCCAAATGGCTGAATGCTCCATGAATCCCACCAAAGATAGTAGAAAATATTGCATACCATATTTGTGCATCCATAAAATAAACCTATATACCAATTATTATTCAAAAGTGTTAATTTACATAAGCATGTACAAGAAATACAAACTTTATCATATGACAGTTTTCACTCAATTAGAATTCTTCAGCGGCTCACTTACCAGGACAATTGGAGCCCATATTGCAATGACAACGCCAATATTATGAGTTACTACAGCAGTTCCAAATGCAAATTACTAGTAAGCACGGGCTATAGTTAAAAACGTTTTAAGTAAAAGCAGTATAACAAATTTTGAAATATTACCATGTGGAAAGAACTCATGCCATTGATAATTACTTATAGGCATCTCCATTATTATTTTTGTTGGTGCTACAAGTGGCAGTATCTGTTATCATAATACTCAAATACAAATTAGTAATAAAAAATATGAATTCAATGGATCCTCAAAGGAAAAACGCTCTATAGTAATTGAAACACCTACAATTAAGTGATCACACCCCAAGAAAGTGAGCAGTTGTTCCCTAGTTCTAGGACCAGGTATACATGAATTCAGTATTTGGGCATCAACTTGCAACAGGAAGTTAATGAAGTTTGACATCTATTTACCATGTATACAGTTACAGTTACGATTCATACAAATCAGCACTTAATGTTTCGCAATTTGACAGGGTAAAGTTTCCTGGTTTAAAAAGAAAATTATTGTTGTTCATCTCTAGGTGGAATACATTAGGAGACAAAGGTAGTACAAAAATAACAAGCAACATTAATATAAAACAACCGAGGTCCAAAAGTACAAGATCAGGCTAGTGGAGTTGAGAACTCTTGCTGGCTAAGACTAGAAATGATGTGATGTTCTTTACATATGTTGCTTCTGGTTTTCCAGAATTATCTTTTCTACTGGCCAATGAGAAAGAAGTCAGGTAACTTAACATTTCACCATACCTTTCTCAACGAATCTATTACTTTCTTCTAACTTCTTAGATGGTAGATTATGCGGTAATCTTCAATAATGACTTATAGGCTATAATTGATTTGGGGAAAGATTAAAAACATGTAATCCTGGCCATAATTCTATACACGGTGTTATAGGATTTGAGATTCCAGGGTTATCAGTCTTAAGTTGAGCCTGTGTGTGGTGTGGTCAAGGAATTCTGTTCCATGTTATTGGAACTTTATAGAATTAGCACAGCGACTTATTTGTGGACTCAGGCTGCTACAACAACAACAACAATCCTACTCAGACTGCTATGCATCTCAAATTTCATAGGTCTTCAGTTTTAATTTCATGAGCTAACTGAGCTTATGCACACACAACACAACAGATTGTACTTATGTGGGTGTGTTTAAATCATTCAAATACCCAAACCCGTCATGCCTATGCCAATGTCTTGCTAGCATGTAAGTGAACTTGAATAAGAAACGGAAAATTAAAAAGGGTGTTAGATCAAGAAGAAGAATATTGAAGAAAAACGACCTCCACAAAATAGCTGAACGATAGCTTGCTGATTAGAAGCATGATCCAAAAAAGCGTATATCTGAATAGAAAGGTAATTCTGTTAAAATCAAAACCAAGGCATCAAATATCCATAGTAATGATTAATGAGTGGAAAGACAAGCAGCAAAATGGCCAACCCCCTCAGAGTTTTATCCAAACACATTCAACCCCAATCTCAAACAGTGAAGAAAAATAATAGAAGTGAAGATACTGATTACTTACTTCAGCAGTGAAAAGATGTCCTCATGAAGCCCTCTTCCGATATACAGTTTTGGCTGTAGTATAGCCAGAAACACATCGAAAAAAATCATTCAAATAGCCATAACTCAAACAAAAAGAACAGAGTGAAAAGAAATATCTACAACCACAAGGCAACAAGAAATTTGTTTAAGGCATGCTTGCCTGAGCCCACCACATAAAAAGAGTGACAATCCTCCAATTTGAGCGCTCTATGTGCCTCCGTAAAGGTGGAAGAAAAAATAGCACGGCGGCCAATATATTAGGAAGCAGATAGAGCGCAACAGCATAATTATAAAATGATTGATTCCGCCAATCCCTAGCCCAACTGCTGAAGAATTTCAAAAGTCCTGTAGGATTCTGCACAGAACTAGAATAACCAATAGGCAGAACCACAGCCCATGCACCAGCTACAGCGAATTTCAAGAGGTATCGTAGTATTTGAGTGAATTTCAAGCTCTTCCAACAATGCCAACTAAGAATTATATCCAGAGTGGCTGAAGAACATAGATACACAAGATAAGGAAGTGTAGCAGAAGAGTCAGTGAATTGATGGCATGCCATTAGAAAAGAATATAATGGTATATATTAAATGGAACAATTGCCAAGAACACCAACCTTGTAATAAGTTGAGGAAAGCATAAGTGATGAAGATGCTTAAAATGCTTCTGAAGACATCCGCATCAAAGAAAGCAGTCAGAGAACCAGAAGGACTCCATGCAACAATAAGCATAGCCTGAAAATCAGAATATAGTGAGGCACATTCCTTTACAAGAATTATATAGAATTAAAGAAAAGAAATTCTCCAACCTCCCTTAACTTTCATCTTAAAAACACATCATTTATTATCTAGGAAACGTATCAACCTCACTTTTGTTCAGGAGCACAACTTTGATTCAAATGGAAAAGCTCCCCCAAAGGTCTAGTCTCATGATAACAAAGAATCCCTCAACACATCCTTATCCAAGCAGGCAGGAATTTGAAAAAGAAAAATGCCACACATGCTCTTAGCAACAAAGATATTTCTGAATCGTGTAACTTCCCCACCATCTACCCAGGCCTCCACAAAATAAAACAGGATACAGAACGAATATGAACTCTTACCTTTTCCATCGCTCTCAAATTCCATCACCACCACTTAAGCTTGCATTGATAGGAAATTTTTAAATTTTTTTCTATTAAGTATAGACTATAGTATTCCTATATTGTTGTTTAAAATAGCTTGACTAAGGGAGGGTTTTGACTTTAGTCCACTTCCTTAGATGACTTCAGATCCAAATTGCTTTGAAAATTAAATATAGCAAACTCTCATCTAACTGACATATTATGTAAGTTAGTTCGTGAATTCACTGGCCTGATTTGAATTGAAGTGGGTATGGAAATGACATCATCATAGTATTATAACAGCATACGCAGCTGATATTAGTTACTGCAGAAGCAAAGGAAGTGTATGCTTGTTTTTCCAATCTTATTGATATGGATTGAAGAGGGCAGAAAGGAGTACATTATTTGTAAGGTCATACTGAAAATCGAAAAGCAAACCAAAAAGTTGATCCTTACCGATGTAGAAAGACACTTACAACGTGGAGTTTAGTGTAAATTCATGATTGTATATTTGAGAACTCTAAGGGAGGTTGTAATCACTACTCAAACTATAAACATACAATTATAAATCAAGACTACCTGGAAAGCCAATATCAAGAATATCCACATTCGATCAAAACTTCTGTAGAGGTGCCAAAATGTTCGGACTTCTACAAAATTTGTTTTAGGTTTCCTCCTCCCACCAGCAGCTTGATTTGGCCTCTATCAAACATGTACGCAGATGAACACAAATTTATTAAAAAAAGGGGAAAAATCCTATGCATATGCAGACACAAATTATGTTTATGTACGTGAACATTGTGCATTAAGGACATGTTTCCATGCACATGTAGCAAGCAGAAAAGTCCAACTCATAAGAAAAGAGGAATTTTAGTAAACTGTGTGTAGCAATATAAGTAGTGTTTCTTCTGAACAAAACACTGGAATAAGATATTAAATAAAATGTTTCCGAATATGTCTAAGTTGTTAGTTGACCATCCCCCACTCAAAGTTATAAACAGAAAACATCAACAAAGATAAGTACCTCATCTTGCTTAAAAAAATCTGCTTTCGGGTCCATTGGCCACCCTAGCCTAAAACATCTGTCGGACCTAGAAGGAACAAACAGGCCTTTCAGCTATTTTATATCTGAACGGACGGAAAGCAAAATTTACCATCAAAGATGCGGACCAGAAGTATTCATTTAGATCATCATAATTTCTCCATCTTGAATGACTTGCCGTGCCATTTTTGTTTCTCTTTGCTTCCTTTGCAAAAAAAAAAATTCAAGTTTTGAATTACAAAATTGTAATGAAAATGCTTCTTGTGGAGAAATACAGGCAGTAGAATACAATCTTTACCATGTACAAGACTTGGTAGATAGGAGTTACAACATCCCTCAAAAAAGACTCTTCATCCCGTGCTGCTGCTTGGTATGTTTCTCCAGTAGCCGGATGCACATTGCTAAATAAAAATTCCATACATCTCATTGGCCATCTTAACAATTAAGGAAGAAAAGTTGTTGTCAGACCTTGTAAGTTTCAGGATATATAAAAGTGCATACTTATGAAAAAGTCGTGTATTAAGAACCAGCATGATTCTCTACAATTTTACAATATGATATTTATGTCGTAGACAAGAAGTCTGTAGAATCAATTACCAAATAACTATTTCTTTCACAACAGAACAAACAGAAAAATAAATAGAGTGAAAAAAATTGAATGAGTAACGTAACTACTTTCATAGATAAGTTATTTTTTGGAGTACTTAAATTCAAAGAATAGTTATTAAATTGACACAAATGAGGAAATGAAATTTCATGCCAAATTAGTAAATTACACAGAATTTTAACGTATAATAATATATTTTATAATATATCTTACACAGTATGAACTTACACATAAATCTATCTTATAATATCTAATAATATATTTGGTTCAGCTATTTACATGTAACTAAAGCTGAACCAAGTTCATTTTACGACTGCTAACACATCCCTCACTATATGAGAATGAGAATAATCTCTGAACTCATTCTCAAAAAAAAAAAAAAAAAAAAAAAAAAAAAAAAAGAAAAGAACAAGTTGGATGGAAGAACAAGTTTAAATTAGTGACTACTGTAGCACTCCTAGAAATTTAATGTGCCCGCAATTTAGCTGGAACCACTTACGCTGCTGCTGTGATTTTTATGTTTTACTTTACAACTCACCAGTATGTACTTTTGGACTTTCATTTTGTTTTTCTACTGTTTTAATAAATGGTGAGGAATTGGTTTTAAAATCAAGTTTGCCATCAGGAGGCTAGCTATAATAAGAAACGAAGAAAATGATGGAAACTACTACAAGATTTAGCCGTTCTCAAAATTATTTTCGTAAAAAATGGGACATGGTATAATAAAAAAGAAAAATGTTATGACATGAAACTCTAGACCATTCATCCAGATGAGCTAATAATATGAAAAGAAAGCATACATACCTGGTGGAAAATATAGCATAAGCATTCAGGCATGAATCGAATATTTGAAGCTTCACCCCATATGAGAAGATAGAGCGCAATGTAAATAAGTTCCAATTGTTGTCTGTCAGAACCTCGAGGGAACCTTAAAAGTTGGGGAGAGGAGGAGGGGCAGAGACACCAAATGAAAATTAGTAGTGCTGAAATGGTGACAACTCTATATGAATTCAAAATTTGAATTAAGGCATCAACTTATAACGTGGATGGTATTTAGATTGCTCACCTAAGATTGGATTTACAATGCAAATAGTTAAACCAGGAACGATAATTTTTAAAAACTTTCTCCATCAAACGTTGTACAGTGGAACTATTCAACTGCAATAAGCTTCTGTTAATCTTTAATCATCGCGTAAAAATTAAAATACAGTCAAGAAAAATGGGAGCATGGATAACTCAAAGCAAAGAATAAACACAAAGCATCTCAAAGGAAAAGAGATGTACCTCAGTGTAATTTTCAAGATTTCTATGTCTTACGTCCATGTTGGCAAGTAGCAAGAGTAAGTGTTCCCTCTGATTTGCCACATTTCCTTTCTTCAAACCACCAAAAAGAAATTTCCATTAAGAAACTTAAACATGCCTCAGTGAGTCTATACAATCGGATAGGTTTAGGGTTAGCATCAATGTTTTAAAAGGCGAAGGCGAGGCCAGGGTGTTTCACGGATAGCCTCGACGCGCCAGGCGATAGCCTCATGGTACCTAAGGTTATTATACTACTTAATATACATATAAAGTTTAATACTGTCATGGATAGCCTTGCCTAGGCAATAGCCTCACGGTACCTTAGATTTTTTTTTTTTTTTTTTGAGAAGAAACAAACATTTTATTAAAGAACAGAGAAAAACACAGAAGTGGATAAGAAATCCACCAAGAACAAAAACAAGAAAAACTCTCAAGAGGATCTGGCTATATCAACAAAACCTAAACCTAAATCACTTTACTGCTGCTAACATATCCCACAGTAACTGAGAAAGCTTGCCAAGCAATCAAATTTGACTATTTTTATTATTTCTCAAGTTCACATCATAAAGTCATAAAAACCGAATAGAATAAAATTAGCATGAGTTTTATAAAAACCCTGCCCATAATGACGTCGTTTTGGGTTTGGGCTTTTTTTTTTTTTTTAAATAAAAAAGTTCAAACGCCCAGGCAATAGCCTAGGCCTTTAGGCTAGTCTCTAGCCCACCCCCGCTGGGCATAGGCGTTTTCTTCACAGCTCCACCCCAAAAGGCAAGTCTTAAAACTAGTTTTTTAAAACACTGGTTAGCATACACAAATAATTTCGGACCTATGGCACATATAAGAACCAAGATACCATGAAAGAAATGGGTATTTAGGGCAGAAGTTACCTGAAACCCGAAGATAGAGGAAAGCCAATCAAGTATATCATTGACAGGTTTAATCCTCTCTGCTGGCATTGTTGACTTGTCTTCAGGGTTCGTGGGTTGTACATGAAATCTTGGCATTGGAAGACCATTCACATTTTGTACAGCACGAAGCGCTGCTTTGATCTAATATTTTTCAGGTGAAAATAAGACGATAAAGCAGTAAGCAAGAGAGAAAAATAAGATTTCATGAAACTAAATCAGAGAGGAATGGAAATCACATATACTGCGCATGTACAACCTCGGGAAGTTCCATAATTGCTGGTTTAACACCAACAGTATATAACGGAAGAATGTTATAGTTGACATACTGCTCCCTTTTCTTCTTGACATCTTCAGCCATCTTCTTTGTCTGTAACGACAAAATTATTTTCAGTACCTTCTGTGTCAAACTGTCTGTTAAGGACTTGAGCATCCCCCAATCATAAAATTCAAACCTGTTGATCTATTTGGGATTGATGTACCACTGTCTGGAGCACATCATACAGTACTGTTGCAATCTGACAATTCTTAGCCATCTCTTCCCTTCAAGAGTTAGCATCCAAATATATAAGAAACAATGATTAATTCAATTAGCAAAGAAAGCCAGCATATCAAAAATTCAAAGACAAGCCTTACGGTTTCTTTGTGTACTCTCCATCTTTGATATTTTTCTCATAGAATTGGTGGTAATACTTCAGAATTTCTTGTGCATCAGATCTAGCAAGCTGATGTTTTGTCTCTGTTTCTTCCTGCAACGAACAGAAATATAAATATTAGTCATGACATTGAATTAGGATTAGCCTTAAAAGATTATTTTAAAATGGAGCCTGGTATGAATTGTTGTCTTATTTCCTAACAGCCTAAAGTTTTGGGGGTCCAATTGTTGTCTACACTCCACAATGGAATCAGAGCTCTAAGTGCAGTAGGTCTTGAGTTTGAAACTTCTAATCATGGATGACAAAGGATAGAGGAGGAGAAGAAGAAATAAAATAAATATTGCCACATTAACATACAGATGAAATCACAGGTGAACTATACACACACCAACGAGAAATATAAATGAAGTGCTAAGATCAGGCCAATCTTCAGGAAAAAAGAAATAAAAAATACAAGACGCCATTAACAATTTAATGGTCTACCTTTTCAAGTCTGTGCAACAGAAGCGTCTTAAACTGTCGAACACCACGTCCACTTGATGTTGGATCCATCGTATGTGCCTTCTCAAATCCATGGAAGCGGCCTGAAAGCACAAAAAAATATCAACCTAACAGACTAATATATTCCGCCACTATAAACAACAATGAAGCTCACTTACCAAGCTAAGCAGGAACACTTGGCACAAAGAACATTAAGATTCTATCCGCATTGGAAATAGAGATTAAAAAACTTATTAATGGGAAACAAAAGACTTATTAAGATTTTCTGCCATATTTTCTCTCTTGGTTGTTTTCATGTATGCTAATGTACCATAGTCTAGAAACAGTATAACAACACTCCGTTGCAGACAATAAAACTCATCATTAATGCTAATTTGAAACAAAAACAGCACCATGAGTGAGAAAAACATTCATTGAAGGACAAAGAAAGAGTAGAAAAACAGAGAAGTGCCAACAAGAGGCATGTAATATTTCCACGCTAATAAGTTCAAGCTATATGGAATGTAGTTCCACTTTATCACCAGAATATAGCTAGATCCAATTGAAATGCAAGTTTCCTAGTTCGACTAAGTTGTATATACCACCAACCAAGTCACTTCTTCTTTATCCGGGCTTCCGACTGGTGACAGAGGCAAATAATCCTATGCCCCATCAGAAGTATTCGGTGGCTAACATTCTTGATTTTCCTTACAGGGCTTTGATTTCTCTTCCATCTACCAACCACACCTCCCCTTTCATTCTCCCTTAATCAAACTAACCTGGTATTATCGCCATTCTTAAAGACCGATAAGGATAATCGAGGAAATAATGAACACTGAATTTAACAATTTAACATTCTCTTCCAAACCATGCATACAAATGAATTCATGCAAGAAAAAATTCAAACTTTTGTTGTCACTAGGTTCCAAACAGTATGAATTGCAAACTAACATGACAAATTAAAAGTGAGGGCAACAATAACATACAGAGATAAGCAACCCTAGGGTTGTCCTTCTCAATCTCATTGGCGACTCGAAAAATCGGAGCAATTGAGGGAAGTCCCGGGGGCACATTAATGTCCAACGCCTCGTCCTCGATCAGCATGTCCAAAACCTTAGTGGACATTCTCGTCATTCCCCTCGATGACGACCGTTGAAGCCCCCCCGGGTGGTCGGTCTTCGTCCCGCTGGAGCTCGCCATTTCCGAAAAGCACCGCCAATCCTCAGCCTCCTCTCGGTTTCAGCTCTCACTGATTTCAATGTGGGTTGTGAATTAAGGAAAGATGTCATCTTTCTAGGTATTTAGAGAGAGAGATACTTTGGGAGGGGGGAGGGGAAAAGGAAAGCAAAGTGGGGTTTTGCTCTCGAAGCAAGAAAGGAATTGGTGATGGGAGGGTTCGGTTTTGTTTGTTTTCAGAAGCTTTTTGAAGTGCTTTTGCTTTTGGAATTGGAGACTTGTGATAAACAAATCTGTAATCAGCAGCGCGGAAGTGCTTTTCTTTTTTACTGGGTGTTTCTGCTTTTGGGAGAGTCTGCTTTTTTAAAATCAGCGGAGTTTGCTTAGTACTGGAAGCTAACAGGGCGGGAACTGTGAGTGACTCCGTAAAGAAGAAAGAAGGTGGGGACCCCTAAAGCCATGAGGGTAACACGTGGAAAATATGATTCGAACATATTTACTTAGGTTGAAAGTATTAAAAGAAGTTAAGCAGCTAGTCGAGCGGCAGATTAGAGCCTAAAACTAAGGCGAATTAGACATAGTTATATTGGGATACATAAATTACAAAATAATATGACATGTAAATTATATAGTATTATAATATATTGAAAACATGGGGAATAAGCATATGATGACTGTTCATCTAAGTATTTAACAAGTCTCTTACATTTTATTGAAAAATTAAAATACCAAATGAAAGTAATCGATTTTCTATCTAAGTCAGAGTCGCGACCTAGGTGAGTGCCTATGCAAGTTTAGGCGGGTTAGACGGACACCTAAGTGGGTCTAGGCGCACTTTCTTAACTTTCAAACGTCTAGGGACTAACAGGAGGCGGTGGTCAGTTGCCTAACGAGGATTTTTAGAACAGTGGAAATAGGTGAATAATAAATACAAACAATATAAAAATGATAGTTGTTGTTCGTTATTATGTTTGTAGACTTATGGTATGTCGAGATTATGATTCATACTTTGCATACTGTTTTTATTAAGTAAATATTTCAACACATTATAGATTGTCAACATCGTTCATTTTATAACATTATTGATACTTTAATTACATAGTATGTTTGTTAATTGAAGTCCATTTGCCAAGCAACTAATTAAGATAAAAAGGTTGTTTTGGTTGATTAAATGTTTGTTAATGCTTCTCCTTCTCTTCTTTTAAGCAAAACTAGGAATATGTCTTGAACTTTGAATGGATACATGGGATTGGATGAGCTTTTACCATTGAAGTGTCCTCTACAAGAATTGAACAAATTCTGGCGTTTTAGTTAGGTGTCCCACCAAAGGGTCATTCAAACTAAAGGAACATTGATTCGTAAAACTCGTTACCTACGTGGCTATAAAAGTAATAAGAGCAAGTTCGCCCGTTTTAGAAGGGTAACGGCAAGGCATTTGAATTGCCCTTATTGTCCATCTTGAGCAATGGTTGTCTCTGTGGAACCCTACTTGTTTGGAAATGGGAAGGGCAAGGGTGAGGACAAGTGCGATTATTATTCACAAAAATATTTATTTATTTATAAATAAATGTGAACTTCGTAAGTATGTTTTTTGAAGTAACAATCACCTAAGCAAAGCAACGTCTTCCCCAAATCTCCCATCTGCCTTCTCACTCACTTTTTGTGGTAACAAAACCATTTAGGAAATAGAAATCGAATAGAGGAGATTGTAGTAAAAATAAATATTCAGTTGTAACGTTGGGAATGAAAGATGGTTGGGTATTGGAATTTTTTACGTTGGATTAATCTTGATCGCTGATTTCCACATCAGATGCATCAGATTGTGTCAAAAGTTTTTCAAATTTTTTTTACCGTTGAAAATCCAGCAGCTATGGCGCACAGAAAATGAAGTCGTTTGGCTCTAGGTTCAGCACGTAGGCGGCCCCACTCTATCGCAAGGCTGATGACGTCGCCACTGCCAGCGGGCTCGAGGTCCGGCAATTCATATCTGGGCAGTCCAACGAGCTTTTGGAGGTCCTGTGGACATGCTCTAAAGGAGATGCTTACAGCTCAAGAAATTACAAATTTAACATGTAAATCGCGGGATTAATTTGTTTTAGAACCAGTTTTAACTAGAGAATTATGCGCTCATCAACGAAAGGAGTTACCTTTTCTCAATACAAACGAAGAATCAAAACGCCGATGCACCTGGGAGAGAACCATTAAAATCCACTGCCACGAACTCTGCAATCTTATGTTTTTTTTTTTTTTTTCTGGTTTCTGTACCAAGTTACTACCAAGAATCCACACTCTTTTCGCTGTAACATCGTCACGAACATCCGGTTGGGAGGCATCTACATCTACACGTGAATGGGGTGTTTACAAAAGGAATCACAGGAGGATTATTTAACATGACGGAAGCATCCCTTGGCAAAAGTGCATCCTCTGGTAGCATTCCTGCAGTTTAACTCTGCATTAACCAAATGCTAAGGAGCGGTGGCAGCAGCCGCAGCCATCCATGATCTGTAGTATAAATGCTTGCACCAGTCATCCTCCTGCTTGTTTGTGTTTCACTGCAATCTGTAGGTCTCGAAACATTTGCATGTGTGCGAGTCTGCATTTCCAGCATGTTGTTGTCAGAGACCAAAGGAAGTTCCGAATCCACAAGTTTTTCTTATATGGGACTTGCTCGTGATGCCTGCAATGCAAACAGGGAGAGCCATTTAACGTCTTCCTCTTTAAACGATATAATTTTACACAAAAGAAAAATATGAACGCAATCACACAGTTTGATGGAACAAAGGTCAAAGTCGGAAAAGAAGACCTATAAATAATAACATTTCAGAAGAATAGCAGAGTAGCAAAAAGACCTGATTATTTGAACTTGTTACTGTAGCCCACTGATGAGGACGCTGTGCCCCCACTGCACCATAGCTGACAAACGTAATTGTTCTTGACTGCTCCCTTTGGCGATTAGTTATCGGGGGTGGCAATTCTCTCACAATCCACAATACAAAAGCCGAGGGCACCAAACATCCTAACAAAAACAAGAAGGGGTGGGAAAAAAACTAATGATAATTATTATCTGATGAACAAAATGCAGTATCTTCCACATTCAAGATGGGTGAATTCGAAAGAAATACTCAGAAGGGAACACAGCATTACCTATGAAGTAGTACAGAATTAGAAAAACAAGTGCTTTTCCGCCATATGTGATTTTCAGACTCCGCTGACAATATAGCTGGAAAAGATCTTAAAGTGAATAACCAAGAAATTATGTACGGTAAACAAATCAAATGAACTGCACAAAGAGTAGTAAGGTCTCTAGCCAATGACCCACTTACAGGAATATGTGTAAGAATAGCAACCAATGCACTTGACGTAAAGCATACAACAGAAGTAACCGCCAAGCTCGCAACCTGTTTACGAAAGTTCAAAACTTACAAAATTAAAAACAGGAATTGTGCCAATTTAGGCAAAAATTATTGCACGACATTTTTAAGCATGCCACACAAAGTATTTAATGTTCAAAGAAAAAAATAGTAAGTGCACTTTGAGGAATATGAATCATTTTCATCAAAGGCAATAGAAGAAAAGGAAGTTTCAATCAGTTTAATACCTTCCACATTTCGGAAGAAGCTTTCTCAGACCGTACTTTCCTTAACTTACGAGATAGCAGAATGCCTGGAGATATAGAAAGAACAGCAAATTAAATTTCAGACAGCACATCAAAGAATTCGGTTATAAAGCCAATATATCACTTTTAACGCTTACAAAATTTAGTGACCTTCCAAACTAAATTGATGTATAAAAAAAAAAAAAAGTTGCATGTGCTCACCATAGAAACCTAATGCTCCCCCTAGTGAAAGAACGGCAAAACCAAGAAAGTCTTCATATACCTGTACAATGGTTGTCGTTATTGGCCAATAATACTTTTCCATATTCAAACGAATAGATACATAACGACACACCATGGTAAGAATATATGGTTCACTCAAAATGTTCCGAAAATTGAAATGAAAAACTACGATCCAAGAAGTATTAACCAATAAGCATACACAAAGTGGTGGTGTCTCACACATATCAGAGATCAAGCAACCATAGATAAGGACTGATCTTCTATACACAAATATGGGGATGCAAAGACACTTATTCACTTGTACTAAATCAAAAGATCAAGTAGACGAGACTATGCAATTTCCTATAAAAACTGCTATCGACCCAGACCTTAATAAGGAAATACTAATGGCAGCTGCACTTCCAAATTCTCTTTTGTATGAATCAAAATGCCAGATATGACTGAACACTATTTTATTCTAATTTTTTAGAACCTAATTTCCTGATACATGTTATGGCCCAGCACAAGTTATCATGCCATAAAATTTCTGAAAGACCGTTAGGACATGAGCTCATCTGATACTCGTAAATATAGAATAGAAATGACTGTGGTCCGTACCTGAGCAACTGCTGAAGAATCAATGGGGTTCTTACCCGCACCAATCCAGATTACCACAGCAAATGACATCATCAGAATAAGGACAAACACAACAACCTAGCGGGAGAAACAGCTGAAATTAGTTGACAAGAAGAACTAGAGAAAAAAATATTCCAGCAGAAGTTTCAAGATAAAAATATTTCAGCAGAAGTTTCATCACTTATGCACGACAAATAAAAAGTAAATAATAAAACAATTATATCCCTCATACCGCAATCACAAACTTTTGGTGACTTCCAACATGAATGCTTTGGAATGAACAACAAACCCGATGACCATCTGTGCTTGATGAATTCTTTGAATTTTCGAACAAGGTCTGCTCCACGCTGTTGTCCTCTTCATCATCTTCATCCTCTTCATCATTTGCCTGATGGCAAAGGTCGAACCTACAAAGTCATTGTCCATAACAGCATTTGTATACCTTATAAATTACACTGTGACTATAGATTTTTATTTTACAAGCTTTAGAGATTGTAATCAAACATATAAAAGATAAACCATGTTGTGACATGCTTCAAAATGAAATCGATATTTGAGTAATTGACACAAAAAGCCATTTTACGTGTGAGGTTAAATACAAAGTATATATGTCAAGGAATTGTCAAGATCCAAAAGTAAAAGTATACAGAACTGACATCGGTTGTAGATGAAATTTGCATTGAAATAGAAAAACTGGATATTTCTTAACGGAAATCTAGTAAGTGCCAAATATCAAATATAGACACAGAGATAAAAAAAATCACAAAAATTTGATATAGAAGGAATTGAATCAGCAGAATACGGGAGGGTAAATTTCTATAGATATTCCTACTGGACACAATAAAGATAACCTTAACAAGTTTAACAGATCAAAGGTAAGATAATAGTTGTCATGCTTTTCAATCGACCAGACCATCTCTAAAATTACAACATGAGAAAGCTTAATCTAGAATAAGAAAACTTACCAAAAGGATAGGAGTGAAAGAAAGGCTGCGAGAAACAGAACTTTCGGGTAGGCTGTTGCAAAAAAATTTCATCATTAAATCACCAGTGACT